GGAAACTACAAACATAATGTCCAATCCAACATAATAAGAAACTATATGCAAATACTGTCACACAAGCACATGCATATATACAATATTTGCTCATAATTCGTCAAGGACACAAATAAGAAAACATTTCCATGCTTTAAATAATTTGCTTTTTGGGGAACAACAAAAATTCACAGCACCCAAAGAGTCCATAGAGTGGAAACCAAAACGATGTCGTTGCACTCTCCCTCCTTACGCTCCTCTCCTATATTATAGAGCAAAGAGCAATTTCTCTCTGCAAAATCTTTCTTTTCTCCTCTCCCATGGCCGCAACGGTCATTTTCTTCCTTCACTTCACCTTCTTCGCCGCCGCTTTCTCTCAACTCCCTCACACCTCCGCCATTTTATCTGAGATTCAAGCACTCACATCCTTCAAACTCTCCCTCCATGACCCTTTAGGCGCACTCGAAGGCTGGAATCCATCGTCTCCCTCAGCTCCATGCGACTGGCACGGCGTTTACTGCTTTTCCGGCCGTGTCCGTGAGCTTCGTCTTCCCCGTCTACACCTCACCGGCCACCTCAGCCCTCGACTCGGTGAGTTGACTCAGCTCCGTAAACTCAGCCTTCACTCCAACGACATAAACGGCGCCGTCCCGTCTTCTCTTTCTCGCTGTGTCTTCCTCAGGGCGCTCTATCTCCACAACAACTCCTTCTCCGGCGGATTTCCACCGGAGATATTGAATCTAAGGAATCTACAGGTGCTTAACGCTGCTCACAACTCACTCACCGGGAACATCTCTGGCGTTACTGTCTCGAAGAGCCTCCGTTACGTCGATTTATCTTCCAATGCATTATCCGATGAGATTCCGGCGAATTTCTCGGCGGATTCTTCTCTACAGCTCATCAACCTCTCGTACAACAGTTTCTCCGGTGCGATTCCGGCTACTTTGGGACAGCTTCAAGAGCTAGAGTATCTATGGCTAGACTCGAATCAGTTACAAGGCACGATACCATCGGCATTGGCTAACTGTTCGTCGCTTATACACTTCAGCGCCACTGATAATTCCCTCACCGGTCTAATTCCGGCGACTTTCGGGAAGATTCCGAGTCTCCAGGTGATTTCATTGTCGGGAAATTCACTCGGCGGTACAGTTCCGGCGAGTCTCCTCTGTGGTTCTTCGGGTTACAATTCCTCCATGCGAATCATCCAATTGGGAGTTAATAACTTCACGGGAATAGCTAAGCCGTCAAGTGCAGCCTGCGTGAACCATAATTTGGAGATTCTCGACCTTCACGAGAACCGCATTGATGGCGATTTTCCCGCGTGGCTGACCGATTTGACCTCGATAGTGGTTTTGGATATATCTGGAAACGTTTTCTCCGGCAATTTTCCGGCTAAAATCGGAAACTTCGTGGCGCTTCAGGAGCTGAGAGCAGCAAACAATTCTTTCGTCGGAGAAATCCCGATGGCCATCGGAAAATGCAGGTCGTTGCGAGTCGTCGACCTCGAAGGAAACAAGTTCTCCGGTCAGATTCCGGGTTTTCTGGGTCAGTTGCAGAGTCTAACGACGATTTCTCTCGGAAGAAACGGGTTCTCGGGTCGGATTCCGTCGGATCTTCTCAGCTTACACGGACTCGAAACCTTGAATCTAAACGGAAATCATCTCACCGGAGCTATACCGTCGGAAATAACAAAGCTAGCCAATCTTAGCATACTCAATCTCAGCTTCAACAGATTTTCCGGCGAAATTCCGTCCAATGTGGGTGATCTGAAGAGCTTGAGCGTTCTAAACCTAAGTGGATGCGGGTTAACGGGTCGGATTCCGGTTAGCGTTGGCGGGTTGATGAAACTTCGGGTCTTGGATTTAAGTAAACAGAGGATCTCCGGGCAATTACCGGTCGAACTTTTTGGCTTACCGGATCTTCAAGTGGTTGCTCTTGGAAACAACGCTCTCGACGGCGTCGTACCGGAAGGTTTCAGCAGCTTGGTTAGTTTACGGTACTTGAATCTAAGCTCCAACTTATTTTCTGGACATGTCCCTTCGAACTATGGATATCTCAAGTCGTTACAAGTGCTTTCCATGTCTCACAATCGTATCTCCGGTTCAATCCCGCCGGAGATTGGGAATTGCTCCAGCCTTGAGGTTCTAGAGCTCGGTTCGAACCGGTTAACGGGTCACATTCCGGTTCACTTTTCGAAACTGTCTCGTTTGAAGAAGCTTGATTTGAGCCGCAACAAATTATCAGGAGGCATCCCGGATCAGATTTCTAAAGATACGTCTCTTGAATCTCTACTGCTTAATTCGAACTCACTATCCGGTCGGATACCGGAATCGTTATCAAGATTGGCGAATCTAACCGCGCTGGATCTTTCGTCGAACCGATTGAATTCTACTATACCATCAAGTCTCTCTCGGCTTCATTCCCTTGACAACTTCAACGTGTCAAGAAACAGCTTGGAAGGGGAGATTCCAGAAGCTCTAGCTGCGCGTTTCAACGACCCGTCTATCTTCATCAATAACCCGAGACTCTGCGGTAAACCGCTCGGTTTAGAATGCCGAAACGTTCGGAGAAGAAGAAGAAGAAAGCTGATTCTACTTGTGACGCTAGCAGCGGCTGGGGCGTTGTTGCTGTTGCTCTGTTGCTGCGGCTATGTGTACAGTCTATGGAGATGGCGGAGCAAAATAAGATTAGGCTTGACTCGGGACAAGAAAGGAACCCCGTCACGTACGTCCCGAGCGAGTTCTGGTGGGACGAGAGGAGAGGACAACAATGGTGGACCTAAGCTCGTGATGTTCAACAACAAGATCTCATTAGCTGAAACCTTGGAAGCCACAAGACAATTCGACGAAGAAAACGTATTGAGCCGAGGAAGATACGGGTTGGTTTTCAAGGCGACGTTTAAAGACGGGATGGTTCTATCGGTTCGTAGGCTCATGGACGGTGCTTCCATAACCGACGCAACGTTCCGTAACCAAGCAGAGGCTTTAGGTAGAGTGAAGCACAAGAACATCACGGTCTTGAGAGGATATTACTGCGGACCTCCCGATCTGAGACTTCTCGTTTACGACTACATGCCTAACGGAAACCTCTCCACGCTTCTGCAAGAAGCATCTCACCAAGACGGACACGTGTTGAACTGGCCAATGCGCCATCTCATCGCCCTCGGGATCGCAAGAGGACTCTCTTTCTTGCATTCTTTGTCAATCATTCACGGCGATTTAAAACCGCAGAACGTGCTCTTCGACGCTGATTTCGAAGCGCATTTGTCGGAATTCGGGTTAGATAGGTTGACGGCGTTGACTCCAGCGGAAGAACCGTCAACTTCATCGACTCCGGTCGGGTCTTTAGGCTACATTGCACCTGAAGCGGCTTTAATGGGTCAAACAAGTAAAGAGAGCGACGTGTACAGCTTCGGGATTGTCTTGTTAGAGATCTTAACGGGGAAAAAGGCAGTGATGTTTACTGAAGATGAAGATATAGTGAAATGGGTGAAGAGACAGTTACAAAAGGGACAGATCGTTGAGTTGCTTGAACCGGGTTTGTTGGAGCTTGACCCGGAGAGTTCAGAGTGGGAAGAGTTCTTGTTGGGGATTAAAGTTGGGCTGTTGTGTACCGGAGGAGACGTCGTTGATCGACCATCAATGGCTGATGTTGTGTTCATGCTCGAAGGGTGTAGAGTCGGCCCGGCGATTTCCTTGTCCGCTGATCCTACTTCACCTACTTCTCCGGCCGCCGCAGCAGCTTCTTGAAAATGCTTCGTTTTTCAATAATTAATTTTCCTAATCATTGTATTTCCCTTTATTTCCTATTTTAGTTTTCTTCCTTTGTGGATAATTCCTTTTTTACTTTTCTGTTGACCTATCTTGTCACGGGTACGACAACCAAATTTTAATTCGTCAAATCAATTGAATTTTCCACGACGGAATAAGAGAGAATCTAGTGATCAATCAGTTCAATGTGAATACGATTGAACAAATAATTTCCGGAATTCTCGTTCGATAAAAATAGTTAATGTCGAGCGGGTCAAACAAATTACTATTAATTAGTCAAGTTAGACCAAAAATAGTGAGTTTACGTTGAACTGACCCTACGTCACCGTTTTTGGTAAGGATCGCGTAATCATCAATAACAGAGCTTTGGTTAGACACTCTTCCGTGATTTGGTCAGTGGGTTGTGAGTAAATGTGGGTTATTATTCTCCACATTGTCCTCTTTCTGTTTAGCTCCCGCCAAATAAGTTTGGACAAGTGGGTTTGCGACACGTGTTGGTCTCCCTAGGGAGATTAAAGTAGCCGTTGATAATTTCTTGGATTTTTGTGTATAGGGGAAAGTGAAGTTTAGCAGCCGTCAGGCGAAAAACTTTTTTTAAGCAGAACATGTCTGAAAGACTGAAACCCCAAAGCCACGTCGGATTTTACACTGTTTGTTTTTTTTTGGCTCATTACTTCTTTTTCATTTATTTAGTTGTGGTTTTTGTTGGGGTTTATGAATCGAATGGAGAACTCCGCCTTTCTTTGGATTCCTTTCATCAACCTCAAAGAATAAATTTCTTAACTGTATTAAAAACCAAGCATAGGCATAGAGAGGACATTTAATTTCCATGAGATCTTGGTAAAAATAAATTTTAGGTAGCATTGTTCATGAAGATAAGATATAATTAAAAACCAAAGCATATGGTAGTCATGAAGAAGGAAATGAAATAGGAGAGAATAAATGCAAAAAGGAATGGAAGTTTGGTGTGAGTGAGTTTAATGGATGTTTTGTTGTGTGGACAAGACTCGTCGCATTATTGAATGTGTCATAACTATCTTCCCTGCTGTCTTTAAAACAATTCATGACATTTTGACTCTGCTTGTGTAAGTTGGTATACTCTTCTTGACCTGCCTTTTTTTTTTAACCTACCATCATTGTATTCCGTCTGGTATGAAGTGAAAATGGTAAGAAAATTATTCACACTTTCACAGTGGACATGGTAATTCCTTCAGTTCAGTTTTCGTTTTCTGAAAATAATATCGAGTCTGTTGATTATTTCAAGGGACGATTTCATGTAGCAGACAAGGATGGTTACTTAAGATGAAACCTCACAATTATTTGTTTAGTGGTAATATAGTATTCATTAACTAAGGTTTGATTTGTGATGCAAATGAAAGATGAAAGCTTTTGGTACCAAAGTCAAACGATTTGACCAGGGTTACTTGTTTCCAATGATAACTTAACCAAAACGCACAAAAAAGAACTGAAAGGAGAAGCCAAACCATTACATTTCTCATATGAGAGATGATGATAAATAATAATAAGTCTGTGCTTGAACTCGTTTCTACTATCACTCGGCTCTAGACTGGCCAGCTCGAGATGAGAGGATGATACCGACAATGAGACCATACAATGCAAGCGCTTCCGCGAAGATGAGAATCAGAATCATTCCCACAAACAGCTTTGGTTGTTGGGCATTCGCTCTGCAAACACAAAGACATGAGTTCTGAATAAGTGGGTGCAAAATTAGAAAAGCATCAGGTGCATCGCATAGTCTCAGAGTCTAAACATAACTCATCCAAGAGAAACTGTGTCAGCTGTTGATGATACTACCCAACATAGTGAGAGCAAATCAACAAAGAGATTATGTCAGCTGTTGATGATATACTACTGAGAGAATTTCTTCTTTTCTCCTTATAAGATGTAAATCCAGACCCAACATATCGAGAGAAAATCAATAAAGCAATACAAAAAAAGACTCATGAGATATAACATTCAACCAAAGATACATATCTCTTCCAGTAACGATATAAAGTTAATCAAAAGCTACTTTTTTTAAGAATCAAAAGTTGCAGAATTTCTTTCTAGACGACTGATAAAGGCAAGATCATAAGAACTTCAACTCCTAGTTAGTCTCTAAACCATTGATCACTAAAACAGAGAGAAGGAATCCAAATTTTGATCAGGCATCATAAGAAATTAAGAACTCTAGACCAGCTTTCGTTATATTCCTATTCTACGATGCAAACAATGTGTAGTAGTAACAAGGCAAGTGAATCAATTGCTGCAATCGAACAGTTTAGGTCACGCGGAATAAGCAATTTTTTTCAAGCTGGAAATGAAAAAAAAAAAAAAATCTGTAAATACCTAACACCGGCATCGCCGACGATTCCAATAGCCATGCCAGCGGAGAGACCGGCGAGACCACAAGCGAGGCCGGAAGAGAGATGTGCATAGCCATCGAAGAGGTAGTAAGACTTGGCCTTGGGGTTAATCCCGGTACTGATGATGACGGCGATGATCAGACCATAAATACCCAAAACACCAGCCATAACCACAGGCACGATCGATTTCATCACAAGTTCAGGCCTCATCACACCCATCGACGCAACTCCGACGCCGCTCTTCGCCGTCCCGTACGCCGCTCCCATACCTGGAAAGCCATCAAAACCGGATCGGATTAGATCGAACCGAACATCAGGGGTGAGATTCGATTGGGGAAGATTTTTGCGAGAGAGGAACTGATCTTACAGGAGAAAACAAGCGCGGCGGCGGCGCCAAGGAATCCGAAGAAAGGAGCAGTTTCATCGCCGCTGAAACCTGAAGCCATGGCTCTCTGATGATTGTGGTGATGAATGTGATGACGATTGTGGCTCTGATGAGATCTTGTTCTGGAGTAAGACTTTTTTTTTTTTTTTCCTTCCTTTGGAGTAAAAAGTTAAAAAAAATAAACAAATAACTGCCGTAACACAAAAAAGAACAATTTACCTATATTTGATAAGAAAATCAAATTATCATATTTTATGTACTTAACAAGGATCTTGGATAAGAAGAGTTTCAAGCTTCGAGAGTTTTTGCAGTAGAAGAAAACAACTATTCTCTCTAATCTCTATGCATCTTCTTATCCAAAGCTTCAAGAGTTTTTGCAGTAGAAGAAAACAACTATCCTCTTTAATCTCTATGCACTACAACACAATTTTTTAAGCACAAGCCAAAACTTCAATCACACAAGACCTCTGTTTATAGCACAACTCTTTGTGAAGTGTCTCACCTCAAAAGGGAACATGGTGCTCTCGACGTAATCCCAAAATGTGTACTACTCTACTTCTAACAAAGCTTCGAGAGGGTCCATACGTGGCCAAATGTCCATGAGAGTTTGTATAGATCTCTTGTACAGTCACAGCAAAGCTTTGATCTTGTGAGGAAAGCAACATAAATCCTCAAGTCACAAGGTAGAATATATGGTAATGTGATTTTTTTCTTATGGGAATCGTGTATATGTTAATACTCTGAGCAATACTAATAATAAACTGGAGGGATGACCAATACTAATAATAAAATTGTACAACAAAAAACAATTAGAGTCAACAGATGTACGAATTACGATGCTTTCATAGTTTCATGACTAGAATCAATGTAATTCTCAATATGATTACAGAATTTGTTTTGATGAAAATAGAGTTAATGATGTTTCTGCATCATATATAATATAAATACAGCTAATATGAACTAGAGAGGACAGGGGAAAAAAAAAAGGTGTGTGAACTTCTTTTTATTTATGATCGTCGAAGCCAGAAATACAAAATCGTTATTATTCCTTTTGTTTTAGAGCGTTTTGCCAAATAAAGCTGTGACATGTATAACCTGTCACGTTAACAATATGCTTCGACGTTCGATCTATATGCATGCACTGCACACAGTGACACACAGTGACATAAACTGTAACTAAAGCGGAGAGATTCACAATATCTTTACAGTTTGTATTTTGTAATGTATACATAAAGAAAAGAATACATATTCTTTAACAAGCTTTTGGACATGTTATAGAGTAATACTGAAATGGTCAAACGAATTTATAAAACAATTAAATATTTGTTCATTGTAAAACTTTTCTTTGCTTTTTTGAATATTTATCTGGAAGGACAGTTGTCCCAACCAGACAGAATAAATATCTTCTTTCCGTATCAAATCAAATTTATTTATTAACACGGGTTTGCAATTTTTTAAACATGCTCCACGCATTTGTTTGTCATTTTTGTTAGAGGTTCATCGATTTTTTTTAGTGACGGTGGAGTTAATTATAACGCAATTATTAAAAGAAATTTGCCCCTGGGACACAAAACAGAAATTGACTTGCTTAGTTTATATAATTGGAATGTATGATGTTGATATGGCATCATCTCACGACCAAGTGACTAAACATTCGGGCAGAGATATTCAACCCCTCACGTATAGAAATTGTTCCTTCGACGACAATTAACATTTTATTATATAAGTACATTTCAGGTTGGTACCACGTCTTAATAATTATAAGTAATTTTATCAAAATGGTATTGACCCAACAGAACATTTATAAACCATAATTGTTTTACTTAATATCACTGTTTATTAAGGCTCTTATTATATGCGGAATCATTTGATAAAGATTATATATGCGATGTAAAGTTTTTTTTTTAAAAAAAAGAGAGATTAATATGCGATGTGTATACAATCATCTAAAGTTAAATATTCTTTTTAGAATTGGTATATGTATATTCGATCTTTTATATGGCTTCATAATTATATATGTTGCATGTCAAGTAAATCAGAGAAGAAACCTTTTGTTAAGGTTGGGGATAACTCAATCGTGCCGACCCAACTATTCCAGTTTTATTATACATATCTAGAATTAAAATTTTAAATCAACGCTAAAAAAAACAATACAGTTTAAATAATCAGTACATTCGTTAAACATTAATGTATACTATATATAAATTTAAAATTTCAAGATTTAATATTTGTTATATGTTTGGACATTATAGTGAACTAATATATTATTTATCGACTATTTCTGAATCTTTTCCATTATTTAACAATGATATCTTTTCGAAATAAAACAAACGAAAAAATCCAATTTATAATTTTATTCTTTGGATCTCAGTTTTTGTACGACAATAGTAATTAATTATAATGTTAACACGTTTTTTATTAACTACAAATGGAATATTTGACCCCTTTCTATATATAAAAAAAGAGAGAGAAAGTTACGTATAACTTGTTATAAATTTGAGACCTATAGTAAGTTTTTATTAACTACAACTGGAAGAGTTGACCTATAGTAAGTTTGAAAATGAGAAATTTGAGCCCTTTCTATTGTAACTTTGAAAAGAGAAATTATAGCTTATTAAATAAATTTAATTTCCTAATTTGATAAAAATCAAAAAAAAATATTACAAATATAGAAAAATGTAATAATTTCATATATAATGGGAATTTAACATATAGTATTATAAATAGAATATTGTGAAATTTCTGAATTTGTCTTCTTCAACCCCTATACAAAGTAGATCTCATGGACAGCCAGCCGATTATACAGTATACGTACCACACACACAAGAAAAAAAAATATATAAATAAAAACCAAACCCGTGACATAAACTCATTCCAACACAAAAAAAAAAAAAAAACCAAGAATGGCTGCACAAGCGAAACTTCAAATCCTCTCCGACGTTAATCATCTCCGTTACTTCGCCCTCTTCCTCCTCCTCTCCTTCCATGTGGCAACCGGCGCTAGAGGAGCATGGGAGCTTCTCCTCCCAAACGTCGGAATCTCAGCAATGCACTTGCAGCTCCTCCACAACGACCGTGTCGTAATGTTCGACCGATCCAACTTCGGCCCTTCCAACATCTCTCTCCCCAACGGAACATGCCGTGACAGCCCAAATGATGTCATTTCGAAGCGCGACTGCACCGCGCACTCCATCGAATACGACGTGGCTTTGAACCGTATCCGTCCCTTAACCGTCCAATCCAACACATGGTGCTCCTCAGGAGGAGTCACTCCTGACGGAACTCTCCTCCAGACCGGAGGAGACAAAGAAGGGGAACGTAAAGCTAGACTGTTCTATCCCTGCGACGATGATTCTTGTGACTGGACAGAAGTCGATGACGGACTCGCTACAAGAAGGTGGTACGCTTCGAACCATGTTCTTCCCGATGGTCGTCAGATCATAATCGGAGGTCGAGGTCAGTTCACTTTCGAGTTTTTCCCCAAAACAAACGCCCCGAATCTCTACACCTTACCGTTTCTGACCGAAACCGACGATCCTGGAGAAGAAAACAATCTCTACCCTTACGCTTTCCTCAACAGCGACGGAAACATGTTCATATTCGCTAACAACAGAGCGATCTTACTCGATTACTCGACGAACACGGTCGTGAAAACGTATCCGGAGATCCCCGGAGGCGAACCGAGAAACTATCCGAGCACTGGCTCCGCCGTTCTTCTCCCTATCAAGAACCTTGAAGCGCCGGTCGTGGAGTTAGAGGTCATGGTGTGTGGAGGTGCACCGAAAGGATCATATAACCTCGCTTATAAGAGAAACACTTTTGTGAGAGCGCTTGACACGTGTGCGAGAATCAAGATCAACGATGCTAATCCTCAATGGGTCGTTGAGCAGATGCCGATAGCGAGAGTAATGGGAGACATGCTGCTTTTACCAGACGGACATGTTCTGTTGATTAACGGTGGCTCCTCAGGAACTGCTGGTTGGGAGCTTGGTCGTGAACCGGTTTTGAATCCTGTTCTTTATCGTCCCAATAAACCGGTCGGTTTAAGATTCGAGGTTCAGAACCCGAGCACTATCCCGAGAATGTACCATTCAACCGCCGGTTTACTCCGAGATGGGAGAGTTCTCGTCGGAGGAGGCAACCCACACGCGTATTATAATTTCACCGGCGTGCTTTTCCCGACGGAGCTTAGGTTAGAGGCCTTTTCTCCGTCGTATCTGGAATCTCAGCACTCGAGGCTTCGTCCGAGGATTTTGAGTCCTAGCTCACAGTCGACGATCAATTACGGTGGAATCTTGAGGCTGGCGTTTACTGTAACCCGGAGAGTGAAACTACCGGTTAAAGTGACAATGGTGTTTCCTTCGTTCACCTCACATTCCTTCTCGATGAGTCAAAGACTTTTGGTTCTTGATCATGTGGGTTTGAGAAAGATAATAGGATTGTTCAGAACCTATGAGGTTAGGGTTAGGATACCAAGATCTGTGAATCTTGCACCGCCCGGTTATTACATGGTTTTTGTGGTGAACCAAAATATACCAAGTGAAGGTATTTGGGTAAGGTTACAGTAAAAGTCATCGTCGACATTTGCGTAGTTCGGTTCTATGTGTGGTTTTTAGTATATTGTACTAACAAAAATATTGTTTAATATTATTTATTTATTCTTATACTTATTCAGTTAATCAGATTTAATTTCGTGGTATTGAATGTAACATGGTTCTTGATTGGATTCAATTACAAAAAGGAATCAGATACTCTGATATTTCGTCATTGAATCGGTGAAGTTTCATGTTGGATACTTTAATGCTACATGAAAGTTTCATGATTAAAGGGATACGAAATCTCTCTAATTTGTTTATTACAAAAGTTAAGAAAGGGAATATAGAGGTCGTGGGCATAGAATGATGCTAAACTTATTCCTTGCATGTTGTTGTGGGAATAATAAAAGAAAAAAAAAATTATGCGTTAGTCGTAGTTGGAAAATCCAGAAAAGGAACGTCATTAAGAAGTGTGTAGGAAGATTTGCGAGACCAGAAATAGAGAGATTCCAAAAGACAAAACTACTTAAATTTACGTCATATGGTTCAACTCAAATCGTCTTGCACGTTTCCACTTGAGTCACTTTCTTGTTAAATTACTTCTACGCCATTTGCACCCAGTTACAAAATCATTCCACCACTTACATTTTAAGTAAATATTCATGGATCCATTTTCTTCTGCCAGTTTTTCGTTGAAGGAAAAGAGAAGAGTACTTTCTCTTATTGCTAATATACGTGAAATAAGCAAAGAGATGGCAGAAAATTCAAACTGATTGAAAAAAAGAAAGGAAACACACAAGTCACGGTAATTTGAATATTTTTAACTTTTAAACGATTATTTAAATGTAGGCTTGTCAATCGGGCTGGCCCGACCCAAAACTCATAAAGCCCATTATTCCTCATTTAAATGACCAAGAATGTTCTCTTCTATTGGTTTTGTGATTGGTCTAAATTTTGGCACATTGATTCCGGTTATCAAAAGAAAAAAGAGACGTTGCAAAAAGAAGGATATCAAGGACTGATTTGTCTTTTCAACTCGGATGCTTCTACAAATGAACTAAGAGGCCTCCATTACGAACACCAATTGTCTACGGCCCAAACCCAAATTTATGTCCATCATGTATTCTTCGTTAGCTTTAAACAATTTCTCCCTTCACTGAACAAAAAAAAAACTTAAAACTGAAATTCACATATAAGCGTAGAATGATGCCTCGTAACGAGGGAGAGATAAAATTGAGTTCTTCAGGAAGTTCGAGACAAAAATGATTCCTCAAATCCAATTATAATTTGTGATTTTTAAAGCTGATAATCATCATAAACGGATGAGCAATGTGTATGAATTAGAATCAGTTTTCCTGGGAATTGTGAGAACAATCCAAGAACAACAATTGACACACAATCACTTCGAATTATAGAAATAATGGTTTTTTTGTCATTATCATCAAATAACCATTTCATCTCCGTCCATGCTTCAAAGAGCGTTTTAACATCATAGTAGTTCAAAGTAGACAGAAAAAACAAAAACAGAACGCAAAAAGCGACAAATCGAAACACTAACACAAACCCTAATAGAATAATAGTGATGATGATTTTTGGATTCTAAGCACGCTCCCCACGAATCCGCCTAGCCAATTGAATGTCTTTAGGCATAATCGTGACCCTCTTGGCGTGAATGGCACAGAGATTGGTGTCTTCGAACAAACCCACCAGATATGCCTCAGCAGCTTCCTGAAGAGCTAACACTGCGTGGCTCTGGAATCTCAGATCCGTCTACAAAATTCAATTTTTACCAAAATATAAGGATTAAACTTCTAGCTTTGCCACAATTCTCGATCACGAATGCATAAAACAGGGTTTCGATAATTGGAGGCAAGTTTACCTTGAAATCCTGGGCGATTTCACGAACAAGACGCTGGAAGGGAAGCTTACGGATCAACAACTCAGTGCTCTTCTGGTACTTGCGAATCTCACTGATTTCATGAGGAAGAAAAACCACAGTGACTAATTAGATTTCACATTCGAAGATGGAAATTTCCCAGAACGGGATGATGATTATAAGGAGAGAGATCGTGAAAATTACCGAAGAGCGACGGTTCCGGGGCGGTAACGGTGAGGCTTCTTGACTCCTCCGGTGGTCGGCGCGGATTTCCTCGCCGCCTGAGATACGATTTCGTTAGATCAACAATCAGTCACAAAACTCAAAATTCAGCACAATTCCGAAACCCTAGATCCCCATTTCTAGGGAGAAAAATCAAAAAACAAGAACAAACCTTGGTGGCGAGCTGCTTCCTCGGAGCTTTTCCTCCGGTCGATTTCCTAGCAGTTTGCTTCGTACGAGCCATGGCTTTCTCACAAAACTCTGATCGTCGAACGAAGAGCTTTGACTCAGAGAGGAATCGCGAAAATCTGAATGTTTGTTAACTTTCAGAGAAAAGTAAAAAAAGATTAGGAATTTATAGTGAGGAGAGATGTTCAAAGTCGGTTAATTTTAGGAGATTAAGGGAAGAGGAGAAGTGGTAGACGTGCGATCAGGAGATGTTCAACGGTTGAGATTTGATGCAGGAAAAGATCAAGCCTAGGTGGCGATCCGCGTCTTTGATTCTTATTGGTTCGTTGGTTTCCTGTTATGATTATTCGTTCAGTGTATTAAGGCGAAATCTTAACCATTTTATCTGAGAGTTGATCAATCTTTGGTTTTGTTCTAACCGGAAGGTCTAACTACTAAAAGGCATGTCACGGACATCGGACGTCCTTGTAGGTCAACTGATTCACCTTATCCCGGTTGAAATTGGCCCATAGGCCCATTATGGATAAGCCACATCATAAAATCCAGAACATAAAGAACTGAAACTTGTGGTTAGACTTGCTTGTTTTTTTTTTTCTTTTATATATATGATTTTTGTAACTGATATTTGATGTAAACATAGATCCTATCTCTCAAGAACGATTCTTGAGAGTGACAACCCGATCATTAAAATAATTATTGTTTTATATTGGTAAGTTAATTCAATTTGTTCATAAACCTAGCTTGACCGGTATGATTAATGGGAAAATACGAAAAAACTTGCAACCTTTGTAGACACACGTTAGACGTTGGATAATCAATAATTTAGATTACGATTGGTTATTCATATGTGGAATCATTTTCAAAGTTTCACCAATCATTTATTTTCCCATTTTCGCACCATCAAAATTTTAGTGCCCAACAAATGAAAGTTATAACTCTAACCATACCGATTATTTCTTGCTAGTTCAAAATTATTGTGTTTAGGTCTTATGTATTACATTTAACAAGTATTTTAGAGTTTCAGCAAGTACACGATTCAAAACTCAATAGTGTACAGCTTACACTTACAGGTGCCAAAATCGCCAAAATGTAAAAGTTGAGACTATCTGCACTGCAGAGCTTGTTTGAAGCTCTAAGAGAAAAAAAAATGATTTTTTTAATGATGTGGTGAGCTTGATGAACAGAGGCGTCTCTCTGCGTGCAGGGGCTGGAGGGGCGATTTTCGCTGATATGGTACGACGTGATTCATCGAATTTTTTTTCTTGTTTTAAAATCGATTTTCTTTTTTCTAAAAAAAAATTTTTTTAAAAAAATTAAAAACTTTTTTCCAGCTCTGTATTGTAGATGCTCTTAATGATTCATCATTACAAATAAATTATGATATAACACGATGATTGGTTACGACTCAAAACCAATATTTACCATTCGATCTCTTTGTATAACTTTGACTTTGCATTCTTCTATTTTTTTGTTGGGAATCTCGGCTGTAAAAATATTAAAATTTTTGCTTTCTAACTCTATTTGTTTTAATAAAGATATGTTTCTTTATCCTCTTTTTTTTTGAAAATAATGTTTCTTTATTCTCTTTAACATTTATATCTATTAAATTATTTTGTATTTTCAACACAAATTTTTAAATTAAATTTCAAATTTATTCATACTATTCCAACTTATAATTGGAAATAAAATCTTCTTTAATTAATCCATTAATAAAATTAATAAATATATATATATATAAATTTAAGGTATATGAAAAAATTGTACAACATATAACACTCTTTATGAAAACTAATAAAAAAAATAATAGTCCTCAATAACATTGAATGATCTACAAATGCAGATGCTCTCATGATGAGTCGCATCCAATGATTAGTTGGTGGCGGTTTGAATCAAGTGGCCAAAAACTCGTCCATATCAAATATTGATATTCAATTTGTTTTTCTTACAATGTACGTATTTACTTATTATGAGACAATGAATGTTATTGTGAATATAGAATACGGTTCAGCTACTACTTGTGATTCATGTAATATAATGGTAGTGTCATTAAATTCCACAGTCCCAATCATAGGAGATATATTCATTCATATTTCGTCCATAACGACGTTTTGATAACTTTCTGACCCAATCATATAACACTAAGAATAAAAAAATACTTGCTCACATGAATCACATCTAAATAATTCGAGCAATTTTCTGCAGATGATGATATGTAGCTCGAAAGATGACTAAATGCATAGCTTTTTATGGGCACTCTCTTACTGTGCGTATTTCTTGGAACTCTTCACTATCTTCTCTATTTCACTACTTAAGCAGTTAAGCGTCTATCCCGTACTTTCCTAATTCACTAAACGCGTTTTTCATCCCTCATAAACAAAAACTGTATTTGATATGCATGCTCAGAAATCAGAACTCTAAAAAAATATTGTAAATGCCTTGTTCACTTGTGGTATATGAGAAACGAATCGAAATATTAGTTAGACTAACCCCGTGGCCCGATTCAAGAAAACATAAATAATTAATCAAATTCAAGAAAAGACTGTCCATTTGGGAGACCTAATTATGAATGAATTAGAAAAAGAATATGATGTTTCAAACAAAGCATCCAAACATTTTAATGAGCTGGTCTATGGACTGGCTTAACATTGACGTACTTGTAGACTCAAGTATAAGGAGTAATCATTTCCCAATATAAATTGGATGCTAATTATTATATATATTTATATTAGTGTCTTTAATCAATCAATTACTATATTTTTTGTTATTTTAAACTAAAATAAAAAATGTTGTACCACGTACTATAAGATTATCAATGCTTAAAGTCCCAAGTTAGGATTAAGTTATTCGACAATCACATAAGTACGTCACTGCCTACTTATATTCCTTCGCTCCATAACAAATATCATTTCTACCAAAACCGAATTAATATGATAAACTATCCTCTTATGATTGCAATGCAAGGCTGTGTTCTTTGCTTTTCCTTTCTTTTTAACTATCGATTCTATTATAAATTATCTTGGTAGCTTTTCGCCTCTCTTGTTTCCATTCTACAACCCACACCAAATCTAGTGGTACACAAATTAAAAAAAAATAGTGATGCTACTTTTTGTCAAAACCTTCTTGGTTTTATTAATGTACCCACATATTAGCTCTGTTCTTTTTCTTAACGCTGCATCAGCGTCAGCGGTAAGAAAAATACAAAGGAAATCCAGCAAATATAACGCCGGTGGTGATGGATGAAGACGCAGCGGCAACAGACAACGGCATGTGCCTTGATTCAACTTGACGCCGGAAAATCTAAGCGTCACCAACAACTCTATTTTCAGACGCGGCGTCTCTTTTTCTGGATTTCTAGAAAACTTTCGATTTGCCACGTGTTAATTTTAAAGTTTCTGAAGCTTAGATTTTTGGTCGCTGCCGCAGACGCAGCTCTTGATAAAAAGAACAGGGCTATTATCTATCAAAAATTCAAATACACCATTTCCAGATTTGGCATTATAATTAGAATATACATATATTTTCCCGGCCATGGGGTTAGTTTTACTAGCTAGAGCCAAAACTAGATTCAAAACGTATGCTTAATTAAATTTTTGGGAGATGGAGATTGGTAGTACGTGGCAAAATATGATTAGGTATTAAAGGTGCCGAAAGACGTTTTGCTTAAATAAATCTAAGGCATAATCCTGATTAGCATGTCTTTATGCCTTTATATAAACCTAGACATTGCATGTGCATTTTATGTCTTCACTCTTCTTCACACTCGATGTTAAGTACTATTAAAACTTATTGAATTAAACTAATTCGACATAAAGGTAAAGTTAAATCTATGATGCAAATAAATAAAAAAAAAAAAAAAAGATTCCGAATAGGCTTTTATAAAGTATTATAGCAAACTACTAACCGAACTTATGTTTTTGTGTTCTACGCGTCACATGAGAAATTTATTTTGTTCTCTTGTAAAATAGTTTCTTTGAAAAAAAGTGAGTGGAGAATGACAAATTTCACTCCAGAAAGGCTATACGTGAAAGCTAGACTTACTTAATTTTAAGAAACATTAGGGAACCCAAACTTTAATCAGGTTCATCCCTTCTGCTTGTGGCTAATCACTGCCTAATACGTAAAATAAACTAAATATTAGAATTAAAAAAAAAACTAAAAGGGAAAAAAAAAAAAAAAAAGAAGAGGAGAGAATTGACGGATTGTTCCGTGGGATCCGTAACGTTCACAATGTACAACAGAGCGCCGTCGGTCGCTCCGTGTTACCAAACTTTCTTTACTTTCTTGAAGAAAACAAATAAACAATGTCACCAAACCTTTGGAATGAGAAAGAGAGACCATTAGACAGTTAGAGGGATTAATCCGTTTAAACTTTAAACAACTTTGATCAAAAGGACGCCACGTCATCTTCTTACGTTGACATGTCATCGCTAAGTACACCTAATGCTCCACATTATCACTCTTCACCATAAGTTAACTGGTTTTGGTTATTTAATTATGACAACATTTTTTTTGTTGTCAATACAACACTAATTAATAAATAAATAAATATTTATGTGCAAACTTTTTAACAATAAAATCATACTAAAGAATCACAGTACGCGTACGTCTATATTTTCCTAATTACAGTCTGGTGATGATTAAAGATTATATGGATATTGTTGCAGCTTCAACAAATGACATTACACAACGATTTTATCTGATGAGATTTTGTGTCCTAGTAAAAACAAATTAAGCGATTAGCTTATTGTTTGATCCCATCTTATATTTTTCTATTTGCTCATATCGTGCGTGCATGCATATTAATGCAATTTGGTGCATGGAGGTCGGAAAGAGACAATCCAGTGCCGATTCATATAGCATACGATCGACTCTCTGCTAATTATATTTATGGAGACATAATATATATATAATTGTGTTCGATTTCTAATAAGTTGATAACCAATAATAAAGCCTGCAGAAGCATCAATGAAGATTTGCTTCGGAAGAAAAATTAAAGTGATAAGATCCTTAAAACGCAACAAGTGGGGTGAGAACGTAACGTCGCATGGGGGAGATGCATCCTCGAGTCGCTTCCGTAACATGCACTTGGACCCACGTTTATTTATTTGATTTTTAAGAATACTATTCAATATTTAGATTTAGAATAAGCTACAATCATCTCTTTCAATTTTATTATTCCAGCATGATAGATATATGTTATGATAGGTGAATATA